AACCAGCGAAAAACGTACGGAAAACACGGGGAAACAGGGAGAATCAGGGAAAACAGAAAAACACGGAAAAACAGGGAGAATCAGTGGAAAACAAAGAAAAACACGGTAAACATGAAAAATCAGGGGAAAACATAGAAAAGCATTGCAAAAAAGGGAAAAAGATAGCAAAACACGCGGAAACAGGGGAAAACGTAGAAAAACACAAAAAACAGGGAGAATCACGGAAAAACATAGAAAAACACGGGAAAACAGGGAGAATCACAGAAAAACAGGGAGAATCAAGGGAAAACATAGAAAAACACGAAAAAACGGGAAGAATCCAGGAAAAACAGAGAAAAGCACAGGGAAACAGGGGAAAACGTAGAAAAACACGAAAAAACAGGGAGAATCCAGGAAAAACATAGAAAAACACAGGGAAACAGGGGAAAACGTAGAAAAACGCGGAAAAACATGGAGAATAAGGGGAAAACATAGAAAAACCCAAAAAAACAGGGACAATCCAGGAAAAACATGGAAAAACACAGGGAAACAGGGAAAAACGTAGAAACACCGAAAAACAGGGAGAATCAAGGAAAAACGTAGCATAACACATGGGAACAGAGAAAAAAGGTAGAAAAACACAGAAAAACATGGAGAATCAAGGAAAAACATGGAAAAACACAGGGAAACAGGGGAAAACATTGGAGAATCAGGGGAAAACACAGGGAAACAGGAAAAAACATAGAAAACACGAAAAAACAGGGAGAATCTAGAAAAAACATAGAAAAACACAGGAAAACAGGGGAAAACGTAGAAAACACCGAAAAACAGGGAGAATCAAGGAAAAACATAGAAAAACACGTGGGAACAGGGAAAAACGTAGAAAAACACAGAAAAACATGGAGAATCAAGGAAAAACATGGAAAAACACAGGGAAACAGGGGAAAACGTAGATAACACCGAGAAACAGGGAGAATCAGCGGAAAACATAGAAAAACACGAAAAAACAGGGAGAATCCAAAAAAAACATAGAAAAACACAGGGAAACAGGAGAAAACGTAGAAAAACACGGAAAAACAGGGAAAATCCAGGAAAAACGTAGAAAAACAGGGAAAAACATAGAAAAACACGAAAAAACAGGGAGAATCCAGGAAAAACATAGAAAAACACAGGGAAACAGGGGAAAACGTAGAAAAACGCGAAAAAACATGGAGAATAAGGGGAAAACATAGAAAAACCCAAAAAAACAGGAACAATCCAGGAAAAACATGGAAAAACACAGGGAAACAGGGAAACAGGGAAAAACGTAGAAAACACCGAAAAACAGGGAGAATCAAGGAAAAACGTAGCAAAACACATGGGAACAGAGAAAAAAGGTAGAAAAACACAGAAAAACATGGAGAATCAAGGAAAAACATGGAAAAACACAGGGAAACAGGGGAAAACGTAGAAAAACACGGAAAAACATGGAGAATAAGGGGAAAACATAGAAAAACACGAAAAAACAGGGAGAATCCAGGAAAAACACAGGGAAACAGGGGGAAACGTAGAAACTACCGAAAAACAGGGAGAATCAAGGAAAGACATAGCAGAACACATGGGAACAGGGAAAAACGAAGAAAAACACAGAAAAACATGGAGAATCAAGGAAAAACATGGAAAAACACAGGGAAAGAGGGGAAAACGTTGGAGAATCAGGGGAAAACACAGTGAAACAGGACAAAACATAATATATAGATTTAGCCACAGCTAAAAGCGAAGCTCCCATTGATATTTTTAAAACTTAATCAAACAACAATTTTGTATTCCACAAATCAGTTAACTTAAGGGCACATTCATGTGACTTTTGAGGGAAAAGCTAAGTGATTTTGGAGTGAAACAAATCTTGTATCGAGTTGATATAGCCCTATATGTACACCCAAAATATAGTCTTCGGTCACATTTAAGAGCAATAATGGCTCTTGATCACAGTAGATAAGGCGTGGAAAACAAATTCTTGGAAAACAAATCAGACCGAATTTTTTCGTTCGACAAGTTTACAAATTCTTGCCAATAAATCTGGGTGCGTGCAAACCAATCTTTTATTATTTTTTATAGACCACATCTGAGGAGAAAGAGTACTATGAGGCGCTGTTTTTATCATACAGACCTCGTACAAAATGCAGTATTTCACAATCTTTCAAGACAAATTGCATTCATTCAATATTCAGGACCATCGAAGCACGCGTGGACTTTTAGTTAGCGAAACCGTTCAAAAAATTTCCAAAATCACCTATACGGCCATCCGGTTCTAACTTTTGACAAGCGCCAAATTTGAGAAGAAATTTTAAAAGAGTTACCCTTCAACGTGATAAAGAATTATTGAGTCTTTTTTTTACGATGTGTAATCTTAAAAAGCGTTTGAGACGCTTGGCATTTTGAGTACTCCTGCAAGCGGATGTTTATGAACGGCTGAAAACAAACGGCAAAGCGATGAAAATCACACTTTTGAGACTACCAACAATCAATAAAGAAATATCAT